TGAGACTTAGTTAAGGATTATTGGTTGATATGCTGACATGTATGAGTACAATTACATGTATTGGATTTGAATGGCTGCTAGGAAGGGAATAAGTAAGAAAGGTTTGCCGTGGTGGTGTGACGGACGAGATAATGAGAGACCGAAAAGTAGAAATTAGTTAGATACACACTTAAATCAATAACGACGTACAGTCCCGCTATTGTACGGTGAGTATGTGGTGTTTATTTTAAAATTCTCATACCTATGAAAATATTTACATATGTGTGTTGATTTACTTTAAATACAAATTTGTGGAAAGCATGAGTTGGTAGAGATGCTAGCAAATTGTAGATGCCATGATTTTAAAAATGGTTTTGAATATATATATATATATATATACATTTATATATAAGCTATATATATGTAAAGGGTTTTTAAAATTGGGAAACAAGCATTTAATATGATTTACGTCAAAATATGCCTTATAGATTGTGTGATGTGCGTTCATGATTGAAACACAAATCCACCATGCGGATTAATATTTTATCCTTATGCAAAGAGTTTACATTTTAGAGTCTTATAAGGGATTTTGTCATGTTACCAAGTTGAATATTTCAGAAATGGTTTTAAAATAAGCTTTCAAAAACCTGACTTGATTTTTAAATGATTTTACAAAATCAAGACATTCAAGAATAGCCTAAACATCACATCGAGATAGTATGACCGTTATGCACAAGTGAGCTCTAGTTGGAGAACCTTTAGGTCACTGACAGGTTGTTAGGCATGGTTGGGGCCATGGTCAATTATATATGCGTGGCAATGCCATGGGTTGATATATGTGGCCAGGCCACAAGTGATATACATGGTTGCAACTACCTGATTTCTTCAATGTTGACCAACATCGTTGAGACTGCCATGGCTGTAGGGATCCAGGGAGTGGAGCTCCCAGATGTTATTACATGGAAGTGGGTTCACAAGTTCTTTATTTCTATTACTTACTGTAGAGTGATATCTCTTTGGGTTTTCAATACGTGTTCTTTCATATGGTGAGAACTATAAGACCTTTCGTAGCTCCTTTATTTTTACTATATGTTGGATTTAACTTCTAGCGTATAAGGTGATTTGTGAAATTGTGCATAAGCT